CCAAGATCAGCGCAGGGAGGTTGGTGCGGCTTCGGCACACCCTGAAACGACGAATAATCTCATCCACAATAACCACTGCGTCTCGTGTTGATCGCTGTGGTAATGCACCAAATTGGGTAGTAGATAATCGGCCAGCGCACTTGCGCAAATCGCCCATGCATGCTACATTAATGAATGCTTTCCCCATGTGGTTAATCAAATTGATCGTTCGATAATGATCTTGAGCGTTACGACCGTCACCTTTGGGTTTGCGAAGCGATACCGTTTCTCCATCTTTGAATCTCTGGGCAACCTGCTTCAATTGGTGGCAAGCCTGGAAAACTTGGGTCAAGGGCTCAGCGACGTAGTCGAGGCAAAGCTTCCATATTTCTGCTACCGCCGCGTCTGATTGTGGTCTCGGCATCGATGACAACGCACTCCCAGGATCGCTCCACTTCAAAACGGGGGCCGCCTTATGGTTGGGTAGTTTTCTGACTGCTTCAATCGTGTTCTCGACGGTGATGGCCTCCGAGGGGTCGTCCAAGACGCCCATGCCGTGGTGTGGAGGCCGCTGCGGCGCAGACTCCGTGACATCTTCCGCCTGAAAAATGGTACACAGGGCTCGGGCTCGTACTTCCATATCCTCCTCGTGGTCAAAGCATACCGTCCCAGTAGCAGGATTGTGGACCGTCATAGATGGAGCCGTGGGCTTCGGAGCGATACGTCTAATTATAGCGTAGCCCTTCCTGATGTCGTTGTGATGGTCCGCCTGCTCAGCTTGGTCAACTAGCTCCGCTGTTCGTTGTCTGCGAAAGGCTCGGACTGCTTTCTTCGCCAACCGCACAAAGTGCTTGTACTGGCTCGTCAGTGTCTTGTGTAGCCAACTCCCCAGGACAGCCTTGGCGAGCATGCGTTGGTAGAGCTGCTTCTTAGCGATAAGCTCCCACGTCTCATCGGGAAAGGCGGGGGCCGCCTGCTTGGTGGGCGGCGTGGTATAGATGTCCACCGCTGCGTCAACAATAGCGCCCTCGAGGGCATCGAAGTACTCAGACGTCGTGCCATACGCCTGGCCAGGACCACACACCTGTTGCCACTCTCCCCGAAGACGTCGCTCACGAAGATGCCGATCTACTGTGCCACACAGCTGTGAGACCCGTTCGGGGATCGTGGAGTTTTCCTGCTGCTGGGCCCTCTGCAGGTCCTTGAGGTCTGTCATGATGAGGTCCCTATTCCAGCGAAGCTCTGAAGGAGGGCGTTGTAGCTTGCACCGTAGTCCAGCATATATCGTTGCCTCCACAGGTCGATGATCCCGGTAGCCTCCCAAGCTCACTGGGAGGTCAATGAGCGGCCGGCTCGCGCGGCCGTAGCCTCCCTGAAGACGCACGCACACGTAGTCAATCGTTGACCAGCTCACCCCGTCCGTGTGGACCCACGTGGAGTTGAAGCGAGAGGCCTTGCCGAAAGTGTTGAGGGCTGCCAATCCTTGGTTCTGGAGTACCGACAGGAACTTGTGGCCATTCTGGTTCGTCCTGCTGAGGGACCTCCGAGAGCCTGCGAAGCCTGTGTTAGGAGGTGATGGGGCCACTGATGCGTTGGCATCTAAGCACCAAACCAGGGCTGAGCGGCCGGGGATCCTCGAGATGGTGTCTTCGCACTGTTGCCAAAACGCATCCTGGGACTTCCAGTGTTTTTCATTCACTTCAGTGGTCTGGCCCTGGGGCGCTCTGGGGGGCTCGTTGGTCCAGGAGTACCCGCTGAGGACGTAGAGGTCTCGGGGTCGACGGCCAGCCCTACGTAAGCGAACACCCTGAAGACGTCCAGGGACCCACTCATGAACACATCGTATTTCATCCATCCCGAAGAACCGCTTGTTGACAGCTATGAGGCACCCGTCTTTGGCCTTGGGGGACGTCCTAGGTGTAGGAAGTATGCGAAATCCTTCACAATGCCACGCGATGTTCAGGGACATGAGGGTACTCTGAAAACAGCACACTGCTACTTCCCGATCCCGCGCTAACCTTAGGATCTCCCCAAGACGGTCCATGATCACCAAGGACTCCGTGTTGTAGCTCCAAATCTTCAGTAGTTGTTTTGAACGCTTCTTCCGCAACATTCCAAGGCCCGACGGGGCCGAGGGCGAGGGGTCGACATGGGGTTCATGACACACGCCGCTAGTGGCAAGCGCGGCTATCGAGGAGCGAGTCCAATGCTGACCTTTGTACCAGCAGGCTCCTGTCAGTGCCACCAGCCTTAGTGCACGTCGATGGGCTCGCTTGTTCCCCATACGCCCTGGCTCCCGCAGACGTACCTAACGTCAACGTCTGGATATTGCGGTTCAGCTCGGTCGGGCAGCCGAGCAGCGCTCACCTCGCAGGCGTCGGCGTCGTTCTCCCCAGCCGACTCCCTCATGCAGCAGCAGGCAACGCCATGGCTGGGGGAATGCTGTGAGTCTGCCTGGTGGGGAGTTGCGACCCCACGCGCGCCCGAGCAAGCGACGTCCTTGAGCCGCCGAGGCTTTCTTTTACTTCCGCCGCCTTCCGCCGACCTTGCGCCTGCTTCCGCTGGCGGAGGCAGCCTGGTTTTACTTCCGCCGACCTTCCGCCGCCCTTCCGCCGCCTTCCGCGGCGGAAGAGATGACAACTCCTTCGATACTCGAAGGCAAGGCCATTCTGGGAACGCCTCATATTCTTACATCGATCTCATTGTCTACCAATACATCCAACTGTCTCTCAATCTACCTATCCAT